GGCATTCTGTTCTTATTTTTTATCATTTCCCTAGATGTAGGTCTTTCAGCCTTGTCATGCTTTGATACTCATAGGGTGTCGACCAACACCAAGGGGTATTAATCGACATTTTTGAAACATCTCCACTCTCGAAATCTGCTACGGGTGCTGGATACTCACATATCTTAATCTAGGAAGTTAATTTTATGCCTCTACTCACCAAAACAAGTTCTAGAGGACCCTGTTGTCGATGATTCTAGACACATCTTTTTCTTCTGCATATCAACTACTGCTCCCATTGTAATCATGAAGGCTCTTCCAAGGAGCAGAGAAGTAGTCCAGCCTTTTTAATTCTCAATCACATGATATTCTACAGAGGATAATGTCGTTCCCAATCTTTACTTTCACATTCTAAATGATTTCTTCAGAGTTTGTCTTGAAGACATCTAAAAACGTAAAGCTAGCTGAGGAAGGTTCTACCTTGATTCCCAATCTATCAGCAGCGTCTTTAAGCATGACTAAAGCACCCGCAATCACATAGCATTAGAAAACTCAGTTCCTGCAATAGAACATGATCCACACACTTCCCAGGATCTTGTCTTTTCCTCAACTTCTTGGACTCACTTTTGATTTGGTCAAGCATATATTTGATCTTTTCACATGTCTCCTTGGTTTCCATGGAGAACATACCAATTTGTACTTGTAATAGGCATCCTCAAAAGATTCTTCTCAGGAACCTTATTCACTTTGAAAAAACCAGCAAGCTATTCAGCATTGATAGACCTTTTGAGGTGTCTGGGTACTTACTATGCCATAGATTTCTTGCTCTCTCCAATTGGTATGCAACTCTTGGTCGCATGCTGATTGATAACAGGCAGCTGCATCGCCATATCAGAGGGGTGTTGATCAACGCTTATGGAATGTCGATCGACTCTAGCTTCTTTCCTTGAGTTCTCATATAGGAGGCATCGATGCCATGAAGGTGGTGATCGAAACCAGTTTCTTGTGGCGAGTTCTCAGGGATCCACATTGTGTCAATCGACATTAGTTCTGAGTGCCAAATGGCACTGAACTCTCGACCAGAAAATCGCTTTCATTTAGCTTCTCATGCTTAACCACTTGCCAAAAATATCATCAACTATTTCATTGATATAGTGGTTCTGGCTATATTCAGCTTTCTCGGCAATTCTCAATTCATGCGGTTTCACAGCTTCTGCAGTCTTGGCAACCTTCATATCCAGCTTCTTCACATGAGTGTTCCGAGACTCAACTTCCCATTCAGATATGTGTACATAAAATCCATATTCTTGTTGAGATCTACACTTTTGTTTATTTTGTCCATCCAGAAGATGTATCATGTCTTCAATCTTGCTCCCATGTGTTGATGCATGAATTTTATGATAGCTAGATTCACCATAGTTCCTTGTGAAGCTATGTTTCCATGAAAGGATTTATGGAACTGAGGTTTCTTATTGTACACTTGGTAACCACCTCCAATTTAGTTCACATCCTTTCCTTCATCTGATCCCATAATCTCAATTTCTGCAGAAAACTGAACTTGTTCCTTGTTTATGAGGATATTTTGAACATAATCCAACTTGGCATTGACCTCAGCGATCTGACTAGCTTCCATCTCAGTCGATTTATCCCTCTCAATGTCTGTATTCTTGGTGCTATTTCTAGACAAAAAAATCTCAATCAGTTTTCTTTCTTCTTCAGAACTTCTAGTCTTAAAGTTTCCTTCACTTGCTGCATCCAAAGCCGTCTAATACTTCCAATCAACACCTCTGAAAAAATTGTTCAGCAACTGGACCTCTGTAAACCCATGATGTGGGCAGTCTCTATGATAGGCCTTAAATCTGATCCACACGTTCTTGAATGATTCAGTACGCACATGTTTAATGTGAAGATCTTATGAGAACATCAGACCTTGCCTCATCCAAAAAGTTGTTCAGGAATGCATTCTTCATGGCAGGCGAGATGGTAAGAGATCATGGTGCCAGCTGCTTCAGCGAGTACGCTGTGTCCCTAGACAGAGAGTGTGAGAACAGATTAAATAAGAGATAGTTTTCATAGACCACATTCTCCTTGATGCTAGACACCAAATCTCTGAACCTCTCCAGATGGTCCATGGGATGCTCATGAGGAAGACCATACAAGGGTTGCTAAACCCCAAGACTCAAGTATGCATGCTTCAAATCAAAATCATCTCTCTGAAATGTTGGAGGTCAAACTGAGACATGTTAGCATAGTACTGATTAGGCCTATTGTAATCCCCAAGTGTTCTAGCACAAACATCTTCAACATTCCCAGCAGCTCCAACATTCACTACATTCACCGCAGCGACAACTTCCTCAGAAATCATATTCCCATCCTCGTGATTCCTCTTACGTGTGTCATTGTAGGAACACCCTTCATGGTCTCGTAAGACCCTCTCAGCATCTGTGACCAACGAATGTTCTCTTCCTTGTTGTGAGTATCTTCGAATGACTTTTGAGTGGTATCGTATATTCTAAAGCTGCTAATTGTTGGTTTGAAGGACTCAAAATTTCTTTTTCGCTATTTCTGGTGTGCATGCACCTGAAAGACACATGAAAAGTCTGTAAGTAACTAGTAAAAACCAAAAAAAAAATACTAAATCCTACACCTAGACTAATGGTGAGTTGAAGTCTCCAGCAATGATGTCAAATTTGATATGTTTAAATTAAACTTTAACTTGTTCTCTAAAATAAAAGGTTTATTGTAACATTTAAGGGTCGAATCCACATGAACTATGATCACTCAATAAACTTGTGGTCTTTAGATCAACCTAAGAAAAAAAATAGAAAGCAGTAAACAAATCAATATAGAAATCGGATTGTAAGCAATAAAGAAAAGTGTCAAATCCAGGGATATCAAATACGCAACAAGAACTGAAACTAATAGATGCTATGAGTTTTATTATGAACAATTCTAAAATTCGAATTAATTAGTAAGTCAATCGGCTCTCGCTACAAAAACTATCAGATGTCTAGATCCTATTAAAACCAACTCTTTTTCGGATTCAGTTAATCAGACAAGCATTAAACTCCAATTCGATAACTTAACTAAATTCCTAATTCAACTCTCGTTACGAATAAATATTTAGCTCAGAAGGATTCAATTTATGTAATAGATAACACTCTTGTATCTACCAACTATCCTATAATGAAGTTTTTTACTTAGCTACTCCAGGAACATGTATTAAAAAGAAATTCCTAGTGAAGAATATAGTCACAGACACTATGGGTGTCGATCGATAACATGGGTGAGTGGCATCGACACTGACCTGGGATAATGACTCCCACTTTAAAATGGCTCCGTAATCTCTAAAATGTTCCAAGACGTACATGATCCTGCAAAATATATAAAAGACACAAAACACATAATAATGACACTATAACTGAACTTATGCCATGGTCGAAATCCATAAAAAAACAAGGTATACCACATTTCTATTAAAATCTATTGTTTTGGAATGAGAATTTTCTTTAATTTTACTCATAAGACACTTGAAAACATTTTGATAATATTTATCAGGATTTTATATTATATGGTAGATATATCCTATACACAAAATAATCTAACAGAAACAATTATAATGCCTAATTTATACAGTTTAATCAATATATAAAATTAAAGTAAATATTTTTATTAATTTATATAAAATATAATTTTTTCAATATATATAATATAGTTTAGCTATATTTTCAAACAATCTGTAAATCAATAACTCCATAAATTAATAAAATTATAGTTAAAACATTATTAATTTATAGAGTTTTACAGTATTTAGTACAAATTATTTTTTTGGATTAGTTCTTTAATTTTAAAAGTTAGTATATGAAAATGAAATAGACAAAGGAAAATCAAGATGTATGTGTCCTATAGTTTCTCTGGGATTCTAAAGGGAGATCCTGTTTGATTTTAAATATAAAAAAATCACGAACAATACGGGTGTGATTGGTATGGGCTATAGGTGCTCTCCAAAGCAACATATATTTCTAAAGCACAAATTCACAGCAATCAAACTTTAATGATTTTGTAAAAGTCATAGTTCAGCATCTCCAAAAAGACTCTCTATTTTAAAGTTTCCAAAACTCTATATTTGAAGTTTTAAGGTGTTCTTCTCCAAAAGAAAAACTTCAAATTAACTTCAAAATTATTTCTATTTTACATTTTGATCCTTATATTTGTCATAGTTAATATAAATTCATAAAAAAATTGATAAATAACATACACATATATATAAATTATACAAAAATATTAACTAATAAAATCTTACACTAAAATATAAAATTATAAGTACAAACACATGATTATTACAAATATAATACCACATTTTTGTTGTCTAATTTTGATTTTAAAATACTAAACTACAAGCAACTATTTTAAATTTTATTATAAATATTTATTTAGTTTTACATCTAAAACTTAAATTTATAAAAGGTAAAGTTTAATTTGAAATATTTATAAGATTTTAAAAAAATTATGGATTAAAACAATAAACAAAAAGTATTTATGAATTCTAATTTTTATTTGTAATTGTAAGGACCAAAATGCACTAAAAAAGATGAAACTTCAAATTTAGAGTTTTGAGTATTGAAACTTCAAATATAGAGTTTCACTCTTAAAAACTTCAAATTTGAAGTTTTGAGGTTTCTTTTTGGAGAACAAAAAACTCTATATTTGAAGTTATAAAATTTCTTTTGGAAATGCACTAACATAATCTACAGCTGTACAAGTGCTTTATAGAAAAAATTAAAGCAATTTTTTTTGAGCTTTCCATATAATCTACAGCAATAAAATCTAAAGATACAGCAAAAAAAAAAACTATAGCATTTTTCTACAGCTAAAATTACAGTGTTAAAAGAGAATACATCCAAAATGTAAAGACATGAACATTTATAAATAATTACACTACAATCTCTTTAGATTTATTTTCCTCCAAATCAATGTTCATCCAAAAATAATAGATAGATAAATATGATTAATTTTCTTTTGTTGCAAGAGTTATAATAATAGAGATGATCTCCTAGAAGATCTTCAAGTAATTTGAAACATAAACACTTAAAAGTTAACCAAGCGATATGAATCCCAGACACAATGATTTACATGTGAGTCTGTGACCATCAGAAACCCTAACCAAAATACCAGCAAACTACCTTCAACATGACAACCAATTGATACATTACGAAAAATCAAACAAGTTTTGTATATAGAGCAAACATGAAAAATCAAACCAGTTTTGTATATAGAGCAAACATCATCACAAGAGGTGGGGTATTACATCATATAGTTCTTAGTCTGCATGCATATCCATTGAAGAATCAAAAGAACTAGGAGAGTTAGATCCCCTGTTCAGTTCACTGCTTCTGGTTCCCCCAGATATGGAGCCTCCCTGCGGAATTTGGTAGTTCTGCAGACTACGGCGTATCGGACTAGAAAGAGCGTTTGAGAAAACCGAATTCTTGGACTGGTTTTCGCATTGCTCGGGCCGAACCACTGGAACAGCTGTTGGGCAAGATGTGTCTGAAGAGTTCATGAGCCCGGAATTTATGACATGCATTGTTTGTTGAGGTAGCGGCGCTCTTGGGGATATTGGGGGTTCCTCTGTGCAGCACTCGAGCTCGTTCTGCATTGGAGAAAACAAGAAACTCAATCAAGAAGAGAAAAAAACAGATCTGACAAGGATTCCATGTTATGTTATATAAAATTATATGAACCTGAATGTAATTGATTATATCCACAGGAGTCACTCTAGACCCTCCTTCTTGTTGTCTCCATATCCATTGGTAAAGTTTTTCCTGAAACATGGAAGAATTGAGCAGAACGTTCAGTGTGTTCTATATTGTTCCCGACTTGGAACAGCCACAGAGCTCCTCGTAGGTAGTGATGCAGTAAAGCTAGAAAGAGCCACAACAATCTAGTCTATGCGTTTCTTTCAAACCATACTAACATATTGATCTAAGTAGCATGTCACCGTCCAACTATAAGTTTCACTTCACACCACAACACAATTCATCCCCGCGTCACGTAGAATTTCAGTACATTATAAATAGACAATCATACAATACTGTACAGTCGTCAACATATAATATTCAGACATACACAAGAACAGTCAAATGGTGAGGGACACCGCAAACAAGAAATGATTACCCTATCATATAAAGAATCAACACAGAGGTTGTACATGAAAAAGCCTTGTAATACGCAGAAGTGAGAAAACTAACAACTTAACCTAAAAATCAAAAAAAAAAAAAAAAAAATTGAAATCAACAGAACCTCTCAACGAAGACCAATCAAATTGAATTTATCCTTTTGTAGATAAGAATCACAAACAGTCTGAGAGAGAGAGAAGGGTTTTAAATCCATACCAGACCATGGCGTTCACCGGCTTGGAAAGATAGTTTCTGGTGGTTCATGGATTGAGTGTAAAGCTGAGACAGCGAGTTCGCGGCGGTCCGAAAGGAGGCGTAAACAGTCCGATCTACCTCATCGAGGCTCGTCGCTGTAGCTTTTCTCTTCTTACCCATCCCCTTAAGATTCTTCAATAATCGGCTTTGAACGGATGGTCGCTTTTCTCTCGGCGATTTTGATGAATTATTAAAAAAGAGAAGAGGATTGGACAAAGAGGGGGCACTTGTCTCACTTTATACGAAACGGCAAGACCAAAGAAGGTTTTACCTTTTCGTTTTGGACATCAAACTCTGTAAATTATCTTTACATATACGTACGACAATGTCTTACACAGAATTGTCGATTTGGCTCAGTTCGATTTTTAGGATTTGAATTTTAAAATCAGGCCCAAACAATCTGGCCTCTTGCTCTGCTAACTATTTCATAACTTGTTTCTCTAGTAACAATTACATCATTTAATTTTTAATTAGGCTTATATATGATGATCACCTTCAACATATGTAATATTGATGAATAATTCTATAATATGCTTTCACGATGAAACTCTCACGAAATATTTAGATCACAAACGGTTCTCCATATACAACACAGATGATGGACATGCTCACTCCACAGTAGACGATCACAACAAATGGTTCTGCCTGAAGTACTATGAAACCTCCGATAAGCTTTGTCTTTTATAATCTACAAGAGCTTTCATTGTCTAGAATTCGAATCCACATACATAAATGTATAAGCCCTCTCTAAAATTGAATCATAGTGTGCAGCCACTAGACCAAGTATGTTATATCTAAAACTATCTCATATCATGCAACATTTTTTTGGTTCCAAATTTAATTATCATAGTGAAAGGCACTCGCATACATTGTTGAATGCTAAAGTGATTGTTTCAACAACTCCGGAGAAAGAAGCTACAAGGAGGGAGAACGTAGCTCCAAACAAAGGGAAAATAAATTTGTCGGAGATGGTTGATGTTCATGACAAGGTCATGATGTAAATAAATTCGGCCCAATAACAAAACAGAGACAGTGGAAAAAAAGCTAAGTCGACAAAAGAAAAAAAGTAAATATCTAGCCGACTTCCTCCTATATAAAAAGGAAAAATCATCAAAAGGGAGATATTTACAAACATACAAAATTGGCACAAGAATTAGAGTTTTATAGATTTATATTGTTCTTGACGAATTAATGTCTTTATTGAATTTTGAGACTATTTCCTTATGATAAATTACAAATCTTCCAGTAAACTTTTTTTTTAATTTGCTTTCATCTCAAACATGCCGTAGTTATATTAAATAATTAGTGTCTTCTGTAAATAGTTATATAACAACGCCAAAGAAGATTTATGATAACCGATAGAGATAACTAACAGTTAGACTCGAATCAAAGTTCAGATAAATGCAATCGTACAACCAACTCTGGAAGCAAGTCTGGACACTGTGGTGGCGTTGGTGCAAAGACTCGAGCGTAAAGATGCAACAACAAAGGAGACCCAGGAAAGACTTGACATGTTCGCAACAACCTTATTAAAGGCATGCATTGTCAAGCATGAGATAAATTATGCAAGGGTAAACAAAAAATTGGAGGATTAGGCTTACACACATTGTAAGATTTGAACACATTGTTATTCACAAAATAATGTGGCACCCATTTTTTTTTTTGTTCAAACTTTTACTTTCATTAAGAACTTAAGTTGCGTCCATGCCCAAAGGGACTATTTTGCACATTGGTCAGCCCAAACATTTGCTGAACAGGAATAAAAACGCAATAGAATTAAAAGAAGCAGACAGTTGGTAGATGTCATTAAGTACTCCATAAATCTCGAACAAGCTCCCCTTCTTAACGATGGTGTTGATGAGTACTTGAGAGTCTGAGAGTACTAGAACGTTTTCTAAACCGTGTGAGAGGGAAGAGTTATATCTGAGCGAACAGCTAAGGATTCTGCCATAAGAGGCGCTGAGACCGAGATCTCTGTCGCTGAGTGATGGGAGGGTGAAATTGGGTTATCGAGGACCCATCCTAATCCTGCGTTTTCTGATGTGGAGTTCCACGCTGCATCAATGAAGATCGACATTGATTAGGGTCTCTAGGGATTGGCCTGGATCTGCCTGCAGTCGATTGTTTTGAAATTGGAGGGGGTTGCGTCATCATCCACTCCCGTGCATCAGAGATGGCTTTTTGAGCTGTTTCTTCTAGGCTGAAGCTTTTTTTTTCGAAGATGAGGAGGTTTCTCGATTGCCATAGTTACCATATGATCCATGCCGAGAGAGCTCCAGCTGCAATACCTACTGGTGGTAGGGAAGGTAATCTCCGAACTCTCTCCCACCCCTCATGGAAATCACTGAAATCTACAAAGTTGATATTTATTGCAAATCGGGCTAACTTCCATACCTTTTTGACGTAGGGACATTGGAACATGATATGGCTCACTGATTCCACCACATTGCATCTGACACAGAGTGGAGAGACCGGTATGTTTCTAAGTGCAAATTGTTCTCCTACTGGTAGAGCATCAAGTAGGGATTTCCAGAGGAAAAGTTTAATTTTTTCGGCGGTTTTAATGTTCCAGACACTAGAGTACCAATCATGGTGTGGAGTTTGATCAATGGCTATTGTCTCATGTTTTTCCTCCATGATTGATAGGTATCCTGACCGAGTCGAGTATTCACCAGACTGATTCTTGAGCCACACTAGATCATCTCCCGATGTTAGCTTGCTTGGTTTTATCTTCAGAATTTGTTCCTTATCGAATGGTAGTATCCGCTCAACCTTCTCCAGATCCCATTCAGATGTATCTGGCCAGAGGAGTTCCGCCAGTGTCATACTTTGGAGAGCCTCAGGAGGTGGGCCAAAAGGTCTAAGTTGTTCACAATGTGACATCCATGGGTTACTCTACACGTTAATAGTTTCACTCTTTCCTATCATCCAACCAATATTCTTAACGAGGAGGTCTCGGCTTATAAGTACACTCTTCCAGCCATGTGAGGATGTAGAGGGCGCTTGACAGTTCAGAAAGGAGTCAGTTTGACAATATTTTCCAAGGAGGCACCAAGCAAGGAGGCATGAAGGGTTCTTTATAATACACCATCCTATTTTTTCCAGGAGGGCATCATTAAATGAGTTAACATCTTTAAAACCCAGTCCTCCTTTTTCTTTTGGTCTTGCCATCTTGTACCAAGAGATCCATGAGACTTTTCTTTTTCCAGGTTCTAAATCCCACCAGAAGTGTGTGAGTGAAGATTGGATATCTGGCGCAGACAGATTATGGGATCTTAAAGCATGACATGGTGTGTGAAGACATTGACGCCAACACGCTTTTCACCATAATCATTTTTCCAGAATTTGAAAGGAATTTTGTTGACCAACTAGCTACACTCTGTTAGATTCTGTGAACCACTGAGGCAAATAAGTCTTTTTTTCCTCCTACCAAAAAGCTCAGGGAGCCCTAGGTACTTACCCATACCACCTTCTTTCTCAATTCCAAGGATTGCTTTCATCGATTCTCTTATAGTAGGATGTGTTCTTTTGGAGCAGAAAATTGATGATTTCTGCTTGTTATTAGTTGGCCCGAGACTGTTTCATAGATTGTAAGCAGCTCTTTCAGTGTATCCGCATTCTTTTTGTTTGCTTTGCAGAAGAACATGGTGTCATCCGCAAAGAGGAGGTGGTTGAGCCTGGGGCTGTGTGTTGCAATGGCTATTCCTTTCAGCAGGCCTTTCTCTTGAGCTCTGGAGCAGAGATCTGTGAGAACTTCAGAACAAAGGATGAAAAGGTAAGGTGACAATGGGTCCCCCTGTCTAATTCCCCTTCCAAGTTTTACATAGCCTCTTGATGCGAAAAAGATAAGAAAAAGAGAGTTTGATCGATTTCGGACTGAACCTTATGAAAGGCTGCCTACGTACCCCTTTCGAGGATCAAGTCGAACGTAGTTCAGTTGGTAGATCTGGACAAGAGATCTAACTGCATGAGTGATTTCGATCCAGCAATTGAGCACCAGTCATAGAAACCGAACTTGTCGAGAATAAAGCCAAAGTTTCTAAGTAAGGAAAATTCTAAGTCTAGAAAAGTTATAAAAGTCTCAGATGAGAGCTCTGATTTTCGTCCCTTGCTTCTGTCCTATGCCTCTTGCTTATATACAACCTTCCCTGGCGGTTTCGTCCTTCCATTTCGCCCAGATTCGAGTTTATCGAGAATCTTCCTTTCATGTTTATCTTTCCTTTTTCCCGCGGAAATCTTCTCTTTATCTTCAAACTTGACATTTATCTTCAAACTTGACATTTATCTTCCTTTTGCGGGTAGATCGTCAAAACATTATCGTATCTTCGGGTTAGATTTCGCGAAAGTCGCGAGATGGGCTTTTATCACGTTTTAGGACTTTCCGAGCCGTTTTGCGATAAACCCGTTTTACGACTTTATACAAAATCGTTTCCTGATTCGATGCCATTTTTAATAAGTTCGTCGAGTTAATCGTAAAGTTTAGCTACTTCATCTTTCGGTTAATCGTTGTCGTTTTTACGATTCACTCGAAGTTTTATTAAAAACGCGTTTTTTTACGATTTTTACGAAAAATCTCGAATAATCGTATAGTTTAGGCACTGTTCAGTGCTTCATTTAATCGTTGCCGTTTTATAGGATTCACTCGAGTTTTTTTGAAAAAACAAAGTCTTACGGTTTTTATCGTAAAATTCGATCGATAGGACGGATCGAGACGAAACGGGAGACATTTCGACCGTGGTTCGGAACATGATCGTGTCAAAGGACGTATACCTTGAATCAAGGATGTGGGAGATCGAGGCTCGGGATAATCAGCTCGACGTACAACAAACCTAACAGGACCGGTTCAGCTCGCTGTACGTCAAGCTATCGGGGGGCTCGTAGCTCGACGTACGTCGAGCTATCGGGGGAGCTCGTAGCTCAACATACGTCGAGCTATCAGGGGAGCTCGTAGCTCGACGTACGTCGAGCCATCGGGGGAGCTCGTAGCTCGACGTACGTCGAGCTATCGGGGGAGCTCGTAGCTCGACGTACGTCGAGCTATCGGGGGAGCTCGTAGCTCAACGTACGTCGAGCTATCGGGGGAGCTCATAGCTCGACGTACGTCGAGCTATCGGGGGAGCTCGTAGCTCGACGTACGTCGAGCTGAACTGGCTGGTTCAGCTCGTCGTACGGCGAGCTATCGGGAAGCCCATAGCTCGCGATTTACGGCGGGTGCGGTTTTTTGTGGTTTTCCTTCGTTTTATAAAACTTCTTTTAGTTTTATAA